CAAGGTGATGCAATGGCTCAGCTATGAATAATCTACTATTGTCTGGGGTCAGGTCAAAACAGCAAAAGCTATGTGGCATCTTAAAGTCCTTTTTATCTTTATGTACAAGACTACTGGCTTTCTTTCAAGGTGACATATATAGCTGATCACTCTTCAAATTTAGTTCCATTTATTATAATCTACTAATATTGATAAGAAATAGTAGTGGCCCAAGGTAAGCCTGTGAGCTTCATCACTGAGTGGTGATTGGGACCCCAGCCTCCCTAATCCATATCTAGCAATATAATAGCCTAATTTGTACATGATACATGAGAATACATTAAGCCATTCTTACAAAGTAATGCATACTCCCCAATTCTCTAAGCAGAGAGATGTTCTTGGGTTACTCAAAGTTCATAGCACTTGAATGTCCTTACAGATTCACAATTTGAACCTAGATAGAGTATTGCTTGACCAACAGAAGGAGAACACTTCTCTAAGATGTTTTGAACTGCAGAGCCTCAAACCTTAGTGTTCTGGGTACCTCTGGAAAACAGCAACCTGCTTTTAGTTCACTTTCATAAATATCTAAATTATTTTTAGCTAGGGAAAGACAAGATTTGCTGTTATTCTGTTCAGAAGAAGACCCCAGCTATTGGACAGTCTCTACATTAGCAATCTTCTGTCCTACATGCAGTCTGAAAACACTTGTCCCCAACTTGTCTTCCAAGGTTCATGTCATGCTTGAACCCTCAGTTTGAACCAAGAAATAGAAATGCACATCACAAAGTTCAGTGCATTTTCCTCATTCTACTTTATGTGTTCAGGTTGTTATCATTCAGCTGATTATAGTACTGCAGCGCTATAATCTCTTGAAAGAGGTCTTCATCCTTAGTTCCTCCCTTCCTAGTGTCAAATATGACCTTATGTTTTCAGAGTTATTTTAATTCTTTTTCATATAAACACCTTAGGCAGAGTTAGTGGCATTGCTTGGTTTGTAAGATCACAGTTAAAAGGTCTAGAGACTCTTCCCACTTTTAATGGGAAGTGATGGCTATAAAAGCAAATATATAAATTATGCTTTGAACATTTTCACTTAAGAATTGAATGCAAATAGCTTGTGGAGAAATCTTGTTAATAACTTTATGGATAACATCTTAACCAGGATGCTGCATCTTGCAGACTGGTAATGTGGCAGATTTATAAAGCAATGTTCCCGTGTCTATAATCACACTCAGAAAATGTGAGAAATACAAAAATAGAACTAGCACCATCCAAGCCAAAGAAAAACTGTGGTTTGTAATGTATTTCCACTTTCGTCATCTGTAATTCTATTAGCAATGCATACATACTGCTAAGTATGACTGTTATTTTGCTTATTTTTAAGCAACTTCCTAATTATCGTACATTCATATTGCATATTAATCCAACACAAATATGGCCAGTTAAATATGGAGGAGTCATTATAAATCAAGAAGATCATCAGTGTAAATGACAGATGTTGGGATATGGATCTGTTCATATGATAGAGAAAGCCTCTAAATCTGTGTTTTTCATATAGTATTTGCCACCCCATAGTAGAAATGAGACAGGGGAATAGATAGAAATGTTTCTAGAAATGTCTTTATAGTGGACAGCTGAGCCTGTAGACTAGGGGTTTCAGATATCCTCTCTCAAAAGCCTCTAGATTTTCACACCCTGCTCCCACCTCCTGCCTTGGTAATTCCTATTGCCACCACCTATCTTCGAGGGGGCATCTCACCTAGCATCCACCCCTAATCCTAGTGTCTGTGAGAGATGGGACTCTCACAACCTGTGCTGTCATATTTACAATTAAAAGTTAAAATGCAAAAAAAGTGCAAAAAAATGAAATAATAATAATATGTAACCCCTTTAAAGCCACTCATAGCACAGGGCCGGGTTATCTGAGAGACCGCCTCTCCCCAGTCACATCAGCCTGTCCCATTAGATCTGGCAGGGAAGGTATGCCAGGCATTGCATTCGCCAGGGACTTGCATTTGGTGGATCTCAGAAGGCGGGCCTTCTCTGCCGTGGCTCCCTCCTTGTGGAACGTTCTCCCCCCTGAAGTGAGGCTCACCCCTTCCCTGCTATCGTTTAGGAAGTCCCTCAAGACCTGGTTGTGTCATCAGGCCTGGGGGTCTTTGGGAACTGGAGACATTCTTAGATGGCTCCACTGTAATTGATATTCTGTTCTCTCTGTGGGGTTTGTATATTTTAAAACCTAATTTTTTAAAAAATTGTGATAATGGTTTTATTTTATTACTAACTTTTTATCTTTTTATATGCCTGTTTTTATTCACTTGTTATTTTATTAATTGTTGTACGCCGCCCAGAGTCGCTTGTGTGAGATGGGCGGCTACATAAATGTGATATATATATATATATACATACATACATACATACATACATACATACATACATACATACATACACATACACACACACACACACATACACACACACACACATACATACATACACACACACATACATACATACACACACACACATACACACACATACATACACACACACACATACACACACACACACATACATACATACACACATACAGATACATACAAACACACACACACAAATAAATATGACAAAGGCATGTGACTAGAGGATTCAGCTTTTCTACCTCCTTGAGGTAGAAATAAACAAAATAAAATTATTTTTAAAAAGCTGACATGTAAACATTTTTAAAACTTTAAATAGTAAGAAGTAAGCATTCTATATTGGAAGAGATAGTTTAAAGAACTGATCATGGGATATAGCAGTTGAAAAGGAATTTAAGAAGCATTTCAAAAGAAGAGACAAGGGTCTGGGCAGACCAAAAGATGGCGCTGGTCTGATCTATAAAGAGATGAGATAGAGTATTCCAAATTAATTTTACTGATCAGAAGGAAGTTGTAAGGAAAATTTGTATCTTCTTGCACTTGCCTGAGGTATGTTTCAGGGCTGGTATATTTTTCTAGCCTGTACAAAAAGAAAAGTAGATTTAACACCATGCAGAAAACAATTAAACTTAGTACAGGTTTCCTGCCTAGATATATTCACCTGTTTCTACAGAAATTGAATCCTCATGAAGCAGAGTTTCTTTGCTTTCTTTTATCTGGACTTCATTTTTTCCTGGGATTCCAAACCTTAATCAGAGACTGTGGGGAGATCTAAACCCTACTTGTGTCCAGCCTCCCCTTTGTTTTAAAAGGACAAAACTTTTTGTCTTCAGCAAAGGGAGGAGTTGGGGTATCTGGCTCTGTACATATATGACAAAGAGCATCTCTCCCTTGTGGTAATGGGAATCTCATAGATCGTCTGAAATCTGCATTATTTTGAATGTCTGGCAGGCAGACTGAGAAGGGGGCTGTGTTCACAACATGTTATTTTAAGCCACGTAGTGTTTTACACTGCTATCCCATACTGAATCCTAGATAGGTAGGGCAGGATTTTTACCTATAAAACAAAGAAGAGTTATTTATACAATATGAAGGTCATTTGTTTAAAACACATGTGTCTGTTGATTTATAAGGTAAACAGAGACTGCAAAACCCTTTTTTGTATATTGCATTTGCCGTCTACATTCCTGGAAATGAGACATGGAAATAGAAATATTTTCTAAACGTGTCTTGCTTTTTTGTTTCTGACTGTATGGCCATTTTCACTCATCTCTGAACCTACTGCTTAGGTGCAAATGAGGATTGGAAATTCAGCTTATAATCAGGAGGCCCAGACACTTGGGCCAGACAAAGGAAAAGCTTTTTTTGTCTTTTTTCTTTTTCTGTAAATGGGACAGTAAACACCAGTTCATGGGTGGCCAAGCTTTTCTAGCCATGTGTGACTGTCTGTACCACATAAGGAGATAAGGTTGTGATTTTCTAAGTTTTTCAAGTTTTGTCTACAATTCTAAAACTAGAGCATTACATAAACTGTAATATTGCACAAAACCCAATTTCAGTACTTGGTGTTTCACTGCCAGATTTTTGTAGCACCATCAGAACTACAAAAAGTGGTTTATAGGCTGCATGCAACTCCATGAATTAGGATTATTCATCTCTGCATTAGACTGAGAGAGAGAAAATGGGATGCCAGAAGAGAAAAGGCGCTGTCAGAAAGAAAAAAATCAGCCTACCCACTATAGACATACAGTGTGGCTCTGGACAGGTTACTCCTGTAGAGAATTAGTAGAACAGGACTCTATAATTTCTTGCCTGTTTACCAAAGAAAATTAAGAAGGTTTGAAATCTGCTATCTTTCCTCTAGTAGTTGACATACTGGGGTTTCACTGTTTCTTTGTTCCCCTGGGGTACGTAAACATAGGCAGAAGACTTTGATTAGGTCTGGTCCATAAACATTTGATTTCATAAATATCAATAATTGAGATTACTCTGGAATAGGAGTTTTCAACATGAGAGCAAAACATAGCTGGGCAAGAGAAAAGTCAATTGCTTCAGAATTACAGCGAAAAATGATTGCAGGTTGTCAGAGCATATTTAGACATCCAATGGTAGGGAAAATGTCCATAGAGGCAGAAGTGGGACTGGGAAGAGGGAGAATGGGGCAATCTTTTCCATCTTCCTGTGAGATATAAGATATTTAATGAAACCAGGTACAAAACTTCTCCATTTAGGCTGAAAGAGGGTGATGATAGAGCTGGCAGATCAGATCAAAATGCCCTAAGCCCACATTTCTTGAGAGCTTGTGAGAAGAATGTCACAGTCTTCTACTATAGTAATTTGAGGATGCTATAGTAATTTGAACATGAGTTCTGGGAAACAATTACACATAACTTCAGTTCTCCTGCTCCTGTTGCCTGCAAGCTAAGAGGATTTATCCTGAGTAGCCACTATTCATGACCCTGAGAATGCCTATCTGTGACTCATTCTGTAGTTAATGCTAATTAAGGCAATAATGCAGATCTCTGGCTTTCCCTTTCTCTCACCATATAGTAATTATTTTTTCTGTTTTCTCTCTGCTCTCCCCCCCTCCATTCCACAATGTCCATGATTTCTCCTCACCATGCGAAGCAGCAGCGGCCAGTGAAGCAGTCACTCAGCAAGTCGCTCTGTAGGGAATCACACTGGAAGTGCCTGGTGCTCTCCTTCTTAATGTATGGCTGCATGGGAGCCATGACTTGGTGCCACGTGACGAAGGTGACCCGGTTGACATTTGATAGTGCATATAAGGGAAAGTCCATGATGTACCATGATAGCCCTTGCTCCAATGGCTATGTCTATATTCCCTTGGCCTTCTTGGTGATGCTTTATGTGGTCTATCTGGTGGAGTGCTGGCACTGTTATACTCGCAATGAGCTCCAATACAAGGTGGATGTGGAGAGTGTGCATGAACGTGTCCAAAGGATGCAGCAGGCCACACCATGCATCTGGTGGAAAGCTATCAGCTATCATTATGTAAGAAGGACACGTCAGGTCACCCGCTACCGCAACGGGGATGCTTATACTACCACCCAGGTGTACCATGAGAGAGTCAACACCCATGTGGCAGAAGCAGAGTTTGATTATTCTAACTGTGGGGTGAAGGACATTTCAAAGGACCTAACTGACTTGGAGAATTTCCCAGCTACTCGGCTTCGCTTCACCAAGTGCTTCAGTTTTGCCAATGTAGAATCTGAGAACTCCTATCTGACCCAGAGGGCTCGTTTCTTCACAGAGAATGAGGGACTAGATGACTATATGGAGGCAAGGGAAGGCATGCATCTTAAGAACGTGGACTTCAAAGAATACATGGTGGCTTTCTCAGACCCAGACAATTTACCTTGGTATGTCTCTCACTATGTTTTCTGGGTGGCTGCTCTCTTGACTTTGTCCTGGCCCTTGCGAGTCTTGAATGAGTACCGCACTTCTTATGTCCACTACCATGTAGAAAAACTCTTTGGATTTGATTATGTGGCAGTAACACCAGCTGAAGAGCGTCCTTTCTGCCGACGGATGCCTCGAGTCAACACAGTAGATAGCACAGAGTTAGAGTGGCACATCCGCTCCAACCAGCAGTTGGTGCCTAGCTACTCAGAGGCTGTCCTTATGGATTTAGTAGGCCTGTCTGGTTGCACTACTTACTCCTCCTGCCATTATGGGAGTTATAGGCAAAACTGTGAACAATGTCACAGGACTATAAGTAGCTCTTCCATCTTTTCCCGTAGTGCTCTCAGTATCTGCAACGGCAGCCCCAGGATCCCTTTTAGCAGCAGCCGCTTCTCTCTGGGCCGCCTCTATGGCTCACGGCGCAGCTGCCTTTGGCAAAGTCGGAGTGGGAGCTTAAATGAGCAGAGCTGTCCAACTGAGCAGACTCGCCTGTCCAGCCAAGTCACCATGGAGGAGGAAGACCCTCCTCCTTACCAAGATGCTCTCTATTTCCCCATCCTTATTGTACATCGAAATGAGGGCTGTCTCAACCATGATCACCGTCATCTTCACCGGAATGGATCCTGTGTGGAGACCTCACTCTAAAGATGTGAAAACCACTTAAGGAAAGTGCCCTAATGCATAGATGTGATGGTTAGGCAGGAGATAGGTTAGCAGAGAAATATTGTTATCAATGTATCTTTGTGAGTCAGAAAGTATTCCTCTCTTGCATTATCCTGTAGAGAATACAACAGCTTTTGACCCCCAGTAATGAATTGGATATGATCTGAGCAAGCAACACCATCATCAAATCCATGGTACAGAATTACAGACTGACAACCACAAGCAAAAAAAAAGGGGGGGGGAGGAGATACCAGGGCTCTTTCTTTACAGTTCCACTTTCAACTGCCCAGACCACCTTGACAGTATCTAGCTGGAACAGTCCCTGACCCATAGGTGGAAAGCTGTTGCCCACTTTTTAGAGTTGCATTTCAGCAGAAGAATCCGTGGCAGTGTAGCTTTTCCTCTGATTTTCCAGGCAAAGGAACCTGAAAGAAAAGCTACGAGTCAGCCCTTCCTTTTTTCTAGACCATGCCTCGACTGTTACATTGTCCTCAGCTCCGGGGGTTATGAGTTCTTAAGAAGTTCTGATGTTTCACATGTGAGAATCAGCAACTTATAGGT